GTTAGTTAGAGATATAGCTTTAGCGACACATATTAATGTATAGTTTACAAAGGTTTAATAAAGCACACCTAACTAACTTAAAAAAAAAAAAAAAAAAAAGTATTACTCAACTTTAATTATGATTTAGCATTTAAATTTTTAATGATGCTATAATACATAAGTTTACGACAAATGCATTAAAGTTTATCCCTATAGTGAAAATTAGGCAAACTTAGAATCCGATAATATTTCTTGCGTTTTAATTAAAAATGCAATAATAATAATTTTTTTTTAAAAAAAAAATCGATTATTAATTAAAATACTACAGTATTTCGACCAATGGTCGAGCTTTTGTGAAGATCATTGAAACGAACGAGGATATAGAATATCACATGCCTACCCTCTCCTTTACCAACACTTTGTTTTGCCCGCCCGATGGGGATTTTAAAATAAAACGGCCTAAAAATGCAAACGAGATAGAATACGCATTTAATAAAATGGCCGTACTACGTTGATATTTTGTGTCGGAGCGGAATCCTCTAAGTCGCATAACTCTCTAAAGCAGATACAGGCGTATATACCGTTTGCAAGTATGTATATACAGTATTGTATGAGACATAAGAACACACGAGACAATACACACACGCAATATACTGTATATCAGTGATCATCACGGCAATTCCTCTTTAGATCAATTTTTTTTTTTCTCGGCGAATAAAAAAAAAAAAACGGAATAAATTTTAATTTAATTTTGAATGCTATACAAATATCCTTAACGCATGGGTATAAACTCGTGATTCGAAAGGCTCGAATTAAAAATAAAAAAAAAGAAAAGAAGCGAAATCGTAACGACCGAATAATAAAAGGGAGAAGAAAATATATGCATATATGTGTATGTGTACTGTATATATGTGTAACCAAGATTTGTGTGCGCATAAATTAAATCGAAGTTGCATAGGAAAAATCGAGGAGAAATCGAGGAAAGATGAATTGCGATCATCCAAACAAAACTATATCGAAACGCGGTAAAAAGATAAAGTAAATAATTAAAATCTGGAACCTCTCGCCAGAGGGGGGAAACATTATAAAGAAAAAAATAAATGTTTCTTGTCAACCCGTTTTTATCAAATAACAAAGACCTACTCCTGCACAGCCCATCCAAGAACTTTCGACGCTCTCGGTATGGTTCATCTCCAATGACACGTGTCTTCTGAGCTCGTTAAATTATAAGGTAAAAGGTGTGTGTGTGTGTGTGAGAATGAATTATACTCCACGCGGATCCGTGAGTTTGTCATTCGTTAGTTTCAAAATTCGAGGTATTGTTTCTCACAACGTCGACTTCTCCGGGGCTTTCTGTCACAAGTTCAACCTTGGCGACATCGTAGTCATCCTTTCTTTTGCGCTCGAGAACCCTGAAACGATCCTTGGCGATGACGGTTAACTCCAGTGATCTATCGATCCCGGGGATCGCATTCACGACTTCCATGATTGTTCCACCGTCGTGGTAAATTTTTTCCGGACACTTGAGAGCGACCCCAAACTTTCTATGATAAGATTCGAGACATTTCTTAATCATCTTGTTGTACTTGACCGGGATGACGTAACTTTCACCGAGTTCGTAGGAGACCTCTGATTGGACAACAAGTATTGACATTTCCTCATAGAGCATAATTTCGGCAAACTTTCTTCGTTTCTCATATTTAATGTAGTCTTGAGAATCGACGGGGTGACTGTAGAAGTAATTTTTATCGCTTCCTTGAAGGTTGTTTCTGCAGGTGATCAGTGGACAGACGTCGTTGTGTTTCATGAAATTTGTGATGCACTCGTCGCAAAAAGTATGACCGCAGGGCGTGGTCACCGGATAGATGCACAGTTTGAGACACACCTGACACTCCAGTCCGTGCAACATCATCTCTCTAACATGGTTGAGGTCGAATTGAATGCTGTCCTTAAAGTCATTGTTGATCACGTCGAACATGTCGACGTCTAACGCATTCCCTTTGCATTTATCATGGGTTGCATGATCCGGATATAATTTTGTCATCAAATTCAGTGCCCACGATCTTAACTCAGGACAGTCCGTTCCGATCACCGTCACGTCCTTGATCCTGGGGAATGTTGTGGTGAACAAGGGCTCGCCAATCTCCGCAGTGAAACCGTAACAATTCCGAAACCTCAGGGTCTCCAGATTCTTACACCTCGACAAACCTACCAAGGGGCCGCACTCGAGAAAATTTGAGCAAATGAAGTCCAAGTATCGTAGCGAATTTGCTCGTAATCCCAAAGAATCAATAACATCGGGCGTCGGAGAAAGGTAAATGCACTGAAATGATTGCAGGTTCTCCTGTGCTCTTATGAACTGGGCGACCTTTAAAGAGTGGATACGCGATCCTGAATTATGTATGAATACACCGAATTGTTCCTTTGGAGAAAAAGAGAAAGAAAGAAAAGAAGGTTCGCCTTCAGGGACAGCAGGTATTCACGTGACAAATTGCAAGAGTGATATTTACCACTTTTGTGCACCCTTTGCCGAGATGCGATAAGAATGAGCTGGTCTGTGCGTGCAAGCCCAACCATATTCTCCTGACGTCAGAGGTATATTTCATGGCCTCGGATTGGATGAAGTAGATGTTTCGCGGAAATCCGGATCCGATACCTCTTTCTGCCTCGATGAGGTATAGGGTTCTGTGCATGGTTTTCTCGGTAAGAGCCTCGCATTCGTCGAACAACTTGATCAGCTTCTTCATCAAGACATCAAACCAAGGATACTTGGAACCACTGGGCGAGTTAAATCTACACCAGAGATCCACCAGAGAGATTAGGGTGCGATAGTAAAGGTGCCGGTGAAATGATGCGTACGGATATAACGGTTTCCTGAAGTCGACTTTCAAAGGGAATTTATGGGTTTTAATTAACTCGTCTCTGTCGTATTCGTCGAGACAATCCAAGTAGACGTCAATAATCTTCTCCAATTGTGTGTGGTTAGAGTAATAGAAAGGTTTTGCCCAAAGTAATTTCACTGCCGTGTCACACCACGTTCTGCTTACGAAAAGACATGAGTGTAGGTCTTGCAATCCTGTATGACCTTGTTCGAGGCGAATAAATATTTCATAAAGGATGTCGGTCACAAAATATCTGGACATTATTGTTTTTAAGCGTTTTCATAAAGAGTGTTTGTTTATCACGAACAGGAATTGACAAGAATGAGTAGAGAATAGAGTAAAAATAAAATTAAAATGATGCGTCCCCCAAAAGAAAATAAATTGGGAATCTCTGAATTTTTATATTTATTGTTCATGATAAGGCCTTCACTAATTGAGACATGATCGAACTTTTGTCTATCACTGGGATTCTATTTGATCCGAAACTTTGGATCCCTAAATTATTTCATGTTACGTATACGGCATTACGCACTTCACTCACATTTTATCTATTGCTACGGTCGTATTTTCTAAGAACCCGTACCAAAACACACCCGGGACTCTATGCTCGGCTTATGTAAGTGTTGCAGACGTTAAACAAAACCGCTTCGGGTCATAAATTTATGTACAGTATGTATAAAGAATCTCTTTTTTTTTTGTTGTTGTTGTTGTTGTTGTTGTTGACCGACTTGGTATGTACATACTGTATGTATGCATGTGTGTATAAATAGTAAAATAAAATAGAATAGAATGGAGATGCGTAGAAATTTAGACATATCTTATCTACACACCAAAAATGAAATGAATGCATGTATTTATTTAATAGTTAAGGTGGCTGCTAATTTAAATTGTGACCGTCAAAGAATTGCTCTAACCTCAAAACGCAGCGATAGATAAGAGGAAATTCTGACGACAAATCCTCCTGCGAATACGCACGTGATGAAATTGAGACGTCTGATAAGAGGAAACTCATTACACACCTGATGCATTATCTCAGATGGAATTTGGATAGCATTGGGGTGATCCTATACCTTATCATACAGCACCGAACCCAAATTCGGGCACCAACCCAAAAATTGAATCATAATCCGCTTTCCACTTATTATTATTTTTTTTTTTTTGTTTGTCATTTAATCATCTCGGCACACACAAAATACTGTGTATTGATTGAAATTGATTGAAAGAAAGCTACGATTGGCCATGTGTGTGACCTTGACTTATTTGAACATCAGATATACTGTATACACACGGCGTATTACCGTATGCGGTCTGCGCAATAAGAAATTGAATACTTTCTTTGTTAAAAGAGAAGGGAGGGAGAGGGAGAGAGAGAGAGAAAAAAAAACACGCATTGCAACAATCATCTCGATTGCAATCATAAACACCAACAATGAAGATTCCGGTACGCAAGTGACAACAAACCGACAGCATTTGGAATCTGCGTGCACTATGCATGCATCATTTGTTCATTGCTATATCCATCAAACGTCAAAAAATTTATCGCCTAAAAAATTACATCTATATGCAGTATTCACTTTTCACATATGAATATATCTCGGTTCAACCATTCAAGTTAAAATAGCCCACCCACATACAGTATACAGTATATACATACATACATACAGTATATACAGTATATTTTCTCGAAAAGAAGAGTAAGGAAACGAAAGAAAACACAAGTCGATCATTTATCCTTTCCTTGGAGTCTTGACATCAATCGAAGGTCCGTGGTGTTTCAGGAAAACTTTTTTCCGACGACAATTGATAACATGTGAAAGATACCTTCACTACGATCAGCTTTTTTTTTTTTTATCTCTCATGCGAGATGTATTAATATCACATGTCGAAATTAAGGCCTAAAAGGAATAGACACGTACGTAGGTTTGTATCAAGGATCCTGTCAAACTTCTTTGAATCCCGGGTAAACAGGAATTTGTGATTCCAAACGCTCGGCTTAACCGATTTAAATAAAAGTTTGATGCCCAAGGTTAACAAAGTTAACTTATTTTGCTTGCGCAAGATTTTCTTTGTGTATTTTAAAAAAAAAAAAAAAAAAGGGATCATACTAAATTTTTAACAATTGCCCTCAAATTCTCGGAGCTCTTTTTATAATAGCAACACATGCGCAAGTTACACCGATAGTATTTCGGAAAAAAAAAAAAAAGAAAGAAAGAAGCGAAATAAAAAAAAAAAAAAAAAACTTTAAATTACAGTATTATAAATAAGATCGACTTCGTTGGACGTTTAACGGGGGTAAATGGTAAATTAGGTTAGGCACGTATAACATACAGTATATACGGTGTAATGTACGTATTTGAAATGGAATCTTTACAGCAATTCATGCTTTCCCTTAATGAACTCAAAGTGAACTTTCTAATTTTCATGATCTCGTGTTTGCACATGACGTACACTTTAAATGACATGTCAACAATTGACACAATCGACACAATTTGACCTCTCCATTTATAGCAGACGGTATGTACGCATAATTGATTCCCGACAAATAGTCAAATAGGTATGAAATTTCGAATTTTTACATAGTGATCGAAATTGGGAATAATGCATCGACAAACGTGATCGGATGTTCACGTGATAAAAATTTCACACGTCACTTCAGGATGCCCGCCTTCTCTTCGAGAACATTCAAAATTTCATTCCAATAACGCTTAAGAAGGTGCCTCCGCGAAGAATATGAGGTCATCCCTATATGATGTAAGGCTACCGCTGAAATCTCAATCCAATAAACATAAAAACGACGGCATGCGAGACGTCGGGGTTTCCTTTCGCATTGTGAAAACAATCCTCCCCTCGTAAGATAGGGATGTGCCCCTCCCCCTTTAAACAACTCGATTTCAAGCATCCCATGATGCTCTCCCTGATTAACCCGGAATCTTTGAATCGCGCTCTTGCTCCTCCACACGTCCGCAAAATTTTCGTGCCATTTTTCGATCGTTTAATCACGCGTCCTGTACTTACGATGCCTTCGAGCGCGCAATCGAGGTGGTGCGTAAAGTCATTATTTTGAGGTAGAGGGCATAGGTTTCCATGTAACAGTATCGAATGTCATGCACTCTGTGAAGATATGAAAACTGTCTCCGGAATGAATTTAAAAAATATACCGAATATCCGTCTTGTTTACTAAAGAAACAAATATTACCAATCGTTACAAAATATTTGCGCACGATTGAATTGGAATTGACATGAGATGAGATTTTTTACGAACGATAAATTTATTGTTTAAGACACAATTAATCGCTAAATTGTCGACTACAATTTTCATAATCCTTTATAATCCTTAAACAATATTATGATAAGATAATGATAAAATCGATTTTTGCACAATTATGTTTCCATCAAAAAAAAAAAAAAAAAAATTTTTTTTTTTTTCTAATTCTTAGAGTCCCTTCCGTTCAATTGATCGTTCTGCTCCAAGACAGCGCGCACAGCCTGGCCATAATTCTCACAACTTTCCTTTATCGCCCTCCACCTGTCACCCATCTGGATTGGATCAAAATTATGCCCGCGGGAGCTGAATACATCACTCAACTCCTCGAGAGATTCCTTGAAATCCTTCCAATAATCCAAAATGATCGGGATCTTCCGAATGAGGCTGGTCACATTGAGCTCAATGACCTTGGTGTCTGTCTCATTCGTGTTCGCCATCACCCTTCTCGTTTCTTCAAGATTCGCCTTTATTTCTTCCGAAATTTTCAAACATCCAATGGAATCAAAGTGAAACTTAATCCCAAGGATAAGGATGGCAAGTGAAATTGCCGTGATGGTAAAAATCGAAAAGCATGTGGATGAAATTCTCATGTGACCATCTAGGAGAATTACAATCATGTAGAATGCATTACACAGTGAAACCCCTGCACCAAGATAAAGGCATCTTTTCGATTTCTCCGAAAGACTTTCGGACCACTCCTTGCACTTTTTACATTCAACCTCCCTGACGGGCATGTTTTCTACGTCCCTGGTTAGGTCCTTCTTGTGCTGCTTAATGCTCTCGTACGTCTTTCTCAAGGATCTTAGGTTATCCTCGTAATTCCTAATAATCCCAACAACCAATTCCCGCTTCTCTCGAGAATCCTTGATCAAGTTTTTCGGGATGGACATCAATTGAAGAAGTTGTCCGACATTGAGGGGTGGAGCTGTGAGGTTATCGGTGTAATTGATTACAGTTTCGGCAAGTGAGACTAAGTAGTCGTTATACTTGAGGGACTGCAGTGTGTTAATGTAAAAGCTCCCGTCCAGGATGTTGATATAGCGACATTTTTCCTTGAGGAAGTTATCGGAGGTCGCCAGTTTGCAATTGTAAAGTAGCTGAAAGATGGTGAACAACGTCTCTTTCACGGGTGATTGAGAAACGTTGCTTTCGTCTTTCGTTTTGGTGGAGGCAACGTGGTCTGATGGTGAGTCATCAAAATTGATGACAACTTGCTGACCGTTTCTGGCTGACGATGAGACCATGGTGAGATTCTTTCAGGAACACAATCGACCGTGCTTTTCACAAAAAAAAAACATTCGCACGCACAAAAATCGATTTACTCACAATGTGGGTCACGTGTTGACGTCACATTACGTAAATGTCCTAGAATGTGATCGTTCGTGATGACACGCCAATTAAGACCAAATGCATATGTGATCAACGTATCACAATTTTAATGTTTGTTACACCACAATCCATTTTCCCGATACGCTTTTGTTTCCTCAAAAGCTTTTTTATTGAGTGAAAAAATTATTCGCCGAAGAGAAATAAAATGCACGTGACATTATAAATGAAAATTTTATCCCCAATTGATCTCACCGCTCCGATCCAAAATATCACTCACGAATCGAACATAGTCTTCGCAACTCTTCTTGATCTCAGTCCATTTGTCGTTCAGATTCTCCTTACCAAAATTTTCAACGTGTGACAACTCTTCAAGATTGTCCTTGTGTTCCTTCCAATATTTCAGAACGGATGGAATTTGGCAAATCGTGTTGGCCAGATACAACTCCACCAATTTGGTGTCTTCGTCGTTTGCACTCTCGATCACCAGCTTATCCCTTTCCATCTCTTGTTTCAACCTATTCATCTCCCGTTGATAATCATTCGCCTTGGATCGGTAACTCTCTGCATACAGATAAACAATGACTCCCGTTAATAGCAAGACAAAATACACAATTGTCATGACGACTTGGTGACCGTTTAGGTAAATGCTTCCCCAGGCATTCATCATTTCAAAGAAGATAAGTATACCGAAGCAAATGAAGAAACCCTTTAAATATGAACAATACATTTGAGCCTCTCTATCGCATTTTTTAAATTCCCTATGGATTCTCTTGATCTCCACCTCCCTAACAGGAATCAAATCCTTCTCCTTTGAAATATTCCCTTTGCGCATTTTGATGTTCTCAAAAATACCACGCAAGGATTTTAAACTATCCTCATATCTCTTAATCAACTCAACGATTAACTCTTTTTGCTTCTTCGAGCTCCCTATTAACTCCTCAGAAATGGCCATTAGGTTAAATATCTCAGCGACAGTGAAGGGTTGAAGTTTTAAATCGTTGATGAATTTGACCACCTTCTCGGCGTGAGGTACGAGCTGCTCTGCGTGCTTGAGTGACTGCAAGGTGTCAAAGTAAAAATTTCCATCTTGAATTCTTATCTCCTGGAGTTTCCCTTTGAGAAAAATATCGCCAATGGTTAGCTTACATTTGTCGAATAGTCGTAAAATCGAGTATACGGATTTTTGAATCTGCTTCGACGAGACATCGACATCTTCCTCGGAGACGGGGTGAATGTCCAGGGAAGCGAGTTCGGACGAAGATTGTTCCGTTTGTGCGTCGTCATCCACCTGGATGATTATTTGAAACGGTTCTCCATCGCTTCCTCGGTCACCAGTGTCAGAGGTATCGGAGAGAATTTTCATCACGAAGTTTGTTGATTTTTTCCAAAAGCGTTTACAAAATATACTCTCACGCTGCAAATAAAAAAAAGCATATGATTGCCGCAATACTTCCTATTATGTAATGTATTATGACAAAATTGGGTTTAACATACTTTTTATTTTGAATTTTTTAAAAAAAAAACTTTTTTTTTAATTACATTATATATAAAAATGATATTATTATCAAAATCAGATTATAAATTTTTCTCTTGTAAAGTTTTAAATTTACTATTTGTTAAAAAAAGTATGTTTTAAAGTATTACTTTTTATTTCAATTTCAATTTCAATATTTTTTTTTTTTCAATTTTTTTTTGAAATTTAAATAAAAGGAATTAAGAGAAAAATTTATTTTTTCTTTTTTTACAAAGATATCAGGATTTTAAAATAAATATTCAAGTTAAAATCTCTTATATCAATTTAACAAATTGATATCTCTATCATAAAAACATAATTTTATTTTTTTAATATATAATAAAAATTTATTATTTTTTTAAAAATTATATACAGTATAATATATTAAGTATTATAAATACTATATATTTTCAGATTTTTTAATTATCTTAAGTTTATTATTAATTATATAGATTAATATAAAAAAAAACAAATATTATAATATTTAAGTAAAAAAAAAAAAAAACTCTTTTCATCAATTCCTAAATTTTTAGAAAATTTCATTTTATAGTAATTTTCTTAAAACACACCTTTTCACAAGAAACAACTTTAAAGAGAGATAACAATAGCTCTTTTTTAAATAATATACAGTTGATTTCTAATAACAAGAAAAGAATATCACCATTTAATAACAACAATTTTTTACTTTTAATTTGCTTTATGAAGAAAAGAAAATAAAGACAAATAGATTTATGGTAAGTTTCTTAAAACTCAAAATCAATTTCATAAAACTTTTAGTCAAGCCAATACAGGTTAACATCTTTTTAGATACTAAGAAAGATTTCAGAAACAATAATCCAAATTAATAAATCAATTCAAATTTAGGGCTCAAAAATCTAGAAGGATGTTTAGATCTATTGGATTAAACAATAAAGATTAATAACAAAACAATTATAACAACTGATCTTTTTTTTTTTTTTTTTTAAACCCTCTGTCAGGCTAGGTATATGTGTTTTATTAAACATATATATACTTTATATTGAAAATGTATCGCTAAAGCTAAGTCTCTACCTAACTCACTTGTCTCTATTTTAAGAATTATTAAAACTCTAAGT